CTCGCGCACAAGCCTAAGGCTTTCCAAAATCCAGCGCCAGGGGAGGCGCCCCCGCCTGCCCAGCACCCCCTCCCTGCCTTTTTAGCACTCTGCTGACACTATGGGCCACCTGGCAGAACAAGGAAATTTTGGCCAATGACCCTCACCCCATAGCAGCCTGGTCAAAGGTGGGCGCAAGTTTTCTATGCAAATGGTGAAAAAAAAAAAAAAAGCCTGATGTTAACTTATCTTTCCACAGGTCTCAACTCATCTGAATCTTAAAACTATCCCTTGAGCTCACAAAGGCTTGCATTATTTTCTTCATTTGATAGAAAACTAAGCCAGTGATGGGAAGAAATCTCTGTGCCCCCAAAGCTGGAGGGCTGGCAGGTTGGTTGTCTGTCTTAGATGAGTCACCTCTACTGTCTGGTCCTGCCTCCAGGATGGGATGGCCCAGCCAGGAGAGGGTAATAGGGGGCAGGAGCGGGGTGTGGGGGGAGCTCTGTGTAGCCACAGTTCACTTCTTTGGCCTTAGAGAGCAGAGACTTCTTGCTGGATCCTGGAGCACCAGTAAAGGCCCGGCCCAGAACCTCAGGGCTAGGTGAGACAGAGCCCTGGGCCTCACTGACTCAGAACCCACTTTGGGGAAGGCCAGGGATGTGCTGGAGGGCTCTGGGGACTTGGGATGTGCTGCGGCACGCCCCAATCTGGGGAGACGGGGGCAAGAGGCTCTGGGGTCATCTGGGGCTGGCCATGCCCTTGATCCCCCTCAACCCACTTCAAGAACGAGACAACAGCCTTACGCTGGGAGCAAGAGGGAACAAATGCAGGGACTCATTCATGGCCATGCTCTCAGAGGGCACTGGATACAGAAACGCTGGCTACCCGTCCTTCCAGGGGCATCTGGAGGGAGAAGAGGCCAGGTCACGTGGCCATGATTGCTTCAGAAATTACATCTCTGGGAATTACATCACAGCCGAAGCTCACCCAGGGCCATCTCTCCCTGCTGCTGGGGTGCCCGAGGAGGAAAGGGTTCTGGGGATATGGGGCAGCAGGAACCGGGAGCTCTGTCCCAAGAAGAAAGCATGGCCAGGGACAGGGGCCCGTGAGGGGCAGGAAACCCCTCTCTAAGAGTGTGCCCCTGGGAGAGAAGGGCGGGGTGCCACCCACAAATGCAGGTGGCAGGAATGCACCCATACCTGCCCACTGATGGCTGAGGCTTTTCTCTGCAGTGAGACAGGCTGCATCAAATCATCCATACTCCCACTCAGCCAAGTGGAGGGCAGGGAGAGTGAGTTGGTCTGTAGCCAGGGCTAGTGACCCTCTTCCCATTAAGGTCAGGTGACTTCAATGCAACCCTCTGGGGGGGGCTCTCAGTGATGTGGCCAGTCCATCACCACACGTGGGCCCTTTGCCATCCCCGGGCATCCCATTCCCTTGGCGGTGCAGAGGGGCTCCTGGGAGGGGCAGGGCAGAGACAGGCTCAAAGAGACGGGTGCAGGCTGCCTGGGGATCCTTCTCTGGCTGAGACCCTGGAGCCCTCTCTGAAAAGCACCCAGGGGCCAGCTCCTCTGCTGATCTTGGGAAGGACCCTGCTTTCTTTCTCATGTCTCCTCAGGGGCAGGCAGGTAAAGTTCAGGCTCCCCCTGCTTAACTAGACTCTTCTGCCAGGAAATAAACTTCTGAACACCAGGGTGAGTGGGCGGGGTTTCTCGCTACCTGGAGGGGAGGCTGGGACCCAGACGGCAGAAACTGTCAGGACCTGCTGCCGAGAGTCACTGGGAATGTCCGTCTGCAGAGAGCATGCCTCTCTCTTCCTGTACTTGGGCACTCTCTCGAAGCAACCTGGCCTCCTTGAGTCTGGCACAGGTGGCAGCTGCAGGACCAGGGCTGGAGGACACAGACTCCTCTGGGACTCTGCTGTGGGCACAGTGGAGACTTTGCCCTGACAGGGCACCGCCCAAGGAGGTGCCTCTTTCCTGCCTGACCTGAGTGGAAAAACCTGAATAGAGCCAGACCATGGAAAGGTCTCTGTCACATTCAGGGCGGGGGGGGGGGGGGGGGGGGGCAGCAGGATGGGGAGAGAACCTGCGTCTGGGCCAAAGTTCATATTCTTAGAAATGCCTGAACCCTGGCTCCTGAAGGCTTTCTCCAGCCTATCCCGGGGAGAGGCCACAGGGAGGCCTGGAGGCTGGCCTCCTCATGTTTGGTGACCCTGTGCTAAGAACTGCAGAGCCAGGCCTGACCTTGCAAGGCTCACTGAGTCTATCCTCACCCTCCTCTTTCCAGACCTCAGGGAGTGGGACTCAGCCATGACCTCAGAAGGCCCATGAGGGACCCAGAGCTCCTCCAGCCCAGGCTGTGGCCGTGCTCTCAGGGGCCAGTGTCCTCACAAAGGCACAGTGGCACTTTAAGACCAGGATGTCCAGGGGGCATCCTGGCCTTACCATGCCCCCCCTGGGAACCTGCCTTGTCAATGATTCCATGGGGAGGGGGGAGGGGAGGAGGGGGAGGTGGTGGGAGCACCAGTTCCCCCCCATGCTCTTTTCTCTGGATACTTCTCCAGGGATGCACCCACCTCTGGAGTTCACAAAGGCTCAGATAATGGATGTGTGCTCTCATCCTCTACCGACTATTTTGACAGTGACTCCCTTAGATACATGACAAGCTGACTCAGGCTGATGAGCGGTGTGACATGGGGAAAATATCCCAATGTCACATCTGTGCTCAGTGGGGAAAAGTGCTGCAATTGATTGGTAATGTCTGTCATGGGTGATTGCTTAGTAATGTCTGTCATGGGTGACGGACTGGAGTGGTGGCATAGCTGTTTTGTCTTCTCTGATATTGCATTGTGGACTTTTAGAAGCACTTTCACATGCGATGCCTCATTTGATTAGAACATGGGTCTAGGGATGATGCAGATCATTATTCATTTATGAAGGGAGACATCAGGAGCATTGAAGTCAAATGTGCCTTTTTCTAAGTCACCCACAGGAATCAGGGCCAGAGCCAGGGTGAGGCCTGATGTCCTGAGTCTGAGGTCAGTACTGGGGAGACACTAGCTTGGGGAACGCCGAAGATCAACCTGCCAAGGTGTTCATGTGTCTTTGGGAAAAGAGCGCTTGGTAGATCTTCCCCAGGCTTGAAATTTGCTATTCTGTATGCATATGTATAGGGTGCTGGCAGGAACAGAGCGTGTGGAAGGGCATGTGCTGCCCACGCTGGAGCAGACGGCCCCTCTGGTTGCTGGTAACTTTAAACATGGCAGGCCTGCCTCCGACTTGCCCCAATTTCATCACATTGGCAAGGCACCCCGGGAAGAGAAAAGGGACCATTTCAGGGAGCCACTCTAGAGCTCTTCAGTTACCATGGAAACTCACCCTTGGAAACTGCTTCAATTTCAGGGAAATAGCTACAAACAATAATAAGCATAAATGAAAAATGGTACACTGTTACTTCAAAATTGTACTTGTTATTGGATTTCGTCGGGCTTTAGGATCTGAACGGTAGGCTCATATCCGTGAGCACAGAGGAAAGCAGACATCTCTGCCTGGCTGCCGGCCTAATGACATAGCCCACATCCTCCCTCCCACCTCCCTAATCAAGTTTCTGGATGTGACCTCCGGGGAGGCATTCATCAGAGGAGCTCATGTCTGAACTGTGGGAGGAAGGAGGATGTGCCTCGCAAAAAACAAACATTTGCTGAGCAGACTGGAAGGCAGCACGGAGCCATGTGGAGGGAACATGGGCGAGGGAGTGATGTCGCTGTGCAGGCTTTCCTCAACTGACATGGACATTCGCCTGGGCCTCGGCTAAAAAGCCTTTAAGAAATCAGGTGGCGGGAATAATAGCTGAGTGGGGAATCTCCGTTCTGACCTGTTTTCAAGGACTCTCGGGGTTGGAAAGGACCTTATAAAGACGACCTGGTCCGGCTCCTACCCCCATGTGATGCTTCTATTCTCTTGGCTACATCCTCACCTGATGATTCCTGAGTTTGTGCTTGGACTTTTCTAAGAGTTACACCGTTTTTCCTAACACTGAGCTGGAATCTAACTCCCTGTAGCTTCTACTCCCGAACAATCAACCTTGTGGCGATGCTGGCCCTGCAGCCTCCTGCAGTCATTCCCCTGGTCCTTCGGTGTTTTCCACGCGGCAGACGCTAGTGGGCCTCTCGTGGCTGTTCTCAGAGCTCTCAAAGGAGACAGGAAGTCTCTGTTGCTAACTGCGGGCTCCTAAATCATACTTAAAAAACCACTGTGCCTATGCAGGCCTGTACTCTTTCAGATCACCTCATTTATCCTGATACCCGCTCTCTGAAAGCAGCTAAGGAAGGCAGGGGGGAAAGTTATACCTAGGGCCCACTGTACTATCTGTCAGAGAACCCCACTGCATAGGTAGTAAAAACGAGGTACAGAGAAGGTGGCTGCCCTACCCATGATCACCCAGAGAGATGGCAAGGCTTGGACAAGAGCACCAGCATTCTGCTCCTAGTCTCTGAACCTCCCACAGGAAGGCCACTGAGCCTTAGGCACCCAAGTTCTGAGCCCCATGGCCTGAGATTGGGGGTCCCAGGGGTCATTTTCAATGACAGCCTACCCTGGGACATCTGCTGAATCCTGCCAAGAACCTCCTCCGAAATGGGGAAGGCAACCTAGTGATCAGGGAGGCCGAAAGACACCCCCAGAGAAGAGCATTTTGTTATCCAGAGTCTCCAGGGTAAGGATCTGATGTGTAACAGTGAAAGCCTCTTGGGGCTAGACTGCCATATGGAAACTTACAGCAAAAAGCCACACATATATCACCCGATCCTCCCAGATTCTTTCACCCGCTCAGGCAGGCTCTGGTCGAAGGGAAATGCCCTGCCCCTGAAGGAAGGAGCTTGGCCTTTCCCAACAGAGCAGCAAGGAAGCCACCTCCCCGCAGACACCAGGGAACAGTGGCAGTGAGGCACTTGCAGGCAAGGAGGGGGCGAGGGGAGAGGAGGGCCTGAGGCCTTTTGCAGGCGTGTGGGGCTGACTCACCAGGCTGTGCATGATGCGCACGCCATCAGGGTTCACCGTGAGCGCCTCCTTGTAAAGCTGCTTGGCCTCCTCCAAGCTGCCCTTCATCTCGGCCAGCCGGCCCCGCATGTAGAGTACCGAGTGCGAGGTGGGGAAGAGGCCCGCTGCCTCCTGGATGCAGAAACCGGCTTCCTTGAGGTGCTGCTGCTCCATGAACAGCTCAGCTGCGAAACCAGAAGGACAGTGGGAGGTGAGAGTGTGGAAAAGTCAGAGGCAGTGGCCCCTCTGTGGGAACCGGTCTAGGCGATGGGAACCATCTTCATGAGCCAGCACAGGACAGGTTCCCTCTGAGTGCTCACTGTGTCAGGCACTGTGCTCCGTGCTCCACACAGACCGTCTCAGCCAGTGCTCACAAAGCCCTGTAGAGCAGGCCCTTCCATTGCTCCGTCAGGGAGGAGGAAGCTGAGGCACAGAGAGGGCAGGGAACTCGCCTGAGGCTGCAGGGAGAGTAAGTTAGGAGCCAGGGTTTGCATCGGGCCCTGGACTTCAGAGCCCACAGGGGCACAAGGGGCATCTCCTGGAGTTCGGCGATGCTCAGATGACTGACTGTCTCCAGTGCCATTCACACTTGCTCATTGTGTCCGGGGTAGGGGGTGGAGGCAGAAGTGGTGGCTCTCCTCCAGCTCAGTCTCCTGGGAGGGAGGCTGGCAGTGCCCACCGAGGGAGAGTCCAGCGATCCTGCCAAGGATGGGCTGGGCAGGCGAGGAGGAGAGAGGCCCAGGGAGCCCCAGTGAAGGGGCAGAGCTGGGCTCCACTCAGGAGAGTGACAGCTACCGAGCAGCCGGCACGGCCTGAGAGCTGACTGTGGGCCAAGGCCCGACTGTGTGAGCATCTCCTCTCATTAATCCTCACAAGTCTGGGAGGGAGGCAGTGCTCTCAGGAGCCCCACATTAACAAAGCAGGCTGACAGAGGGCGGACCTCACCCCCATCCCTCGATGGGCAGGGGCCAGGCAGGGCTGGGCCCCCAGCAGCTCCTGGCCTCCCTCCGGGGGACTTTCTTCCGCATGGAGAAGAGGACACATGCACAATTTGCCCCACAACCACTTTGCCTTCGTCCCTGGATCAGTGGAAAATGGGGCCGATTCTTCAATCCCTGTCCAGCCCACATAAATGCACATTTCAAAACCTCCTGCGCATGCACACACCCACAGCAGGTGCTTGCAGCAACACAGCTCTCTGAGGTTGCAGCATGGCCTCTGGGCACACCCAGGCCTCATGCAGCCCTGGACCCGGCTGCCCCTCCTGAGGCTGGTGCCAGCGCACAGATGGGAGCACAGAAGGGAGGCAGAGCCGGGCTGTTCCTAGCAAAGGCTGGGGCTGAGGTTACACAAGTTCAGCTTAGGGCTGGGGTGGGTTGGATAACAGACTTCCCAGAAGGAAGCTCCCAGAAGGAGGCGGAAAACCCGGGCTCAGGCACCCCATCTTCCTGCTCCGACAAGAAGCAGGAAGGAGGCCTAACCAAGGCCGGGACTGCAGTGCACAGCACTTGGGTGCTTGGGAAGGATGTTGCCCGAGGCTCATTGTGTAATCATATAGCTTGCCACTTCCTAAAATCCTACAGGGGCTTTCTCAGCAAGGTACTCTTTCTTCAGTGGAGATGAGAATTTGGGAGAATGAGAATTAATTAAACACAGGAGCCAGGCTCCCATGATAAGGAGAGAAAGAGAACTGCAGGTTCTTGTTCCCTGAACTGGAGATTCCCAAGACAGAAAACTTGGGGAGGTGAGCCCAGGAAGGGCTGCCCCAGTGGCCAGGGGTTTGGCTCTCTCAGCCTCAGCTCTGCTGCTGTGTTCCCTTCTGGGGCTGCAGCCTGGAGCTCTGAGCAGGCTGCCTTCCCAGCTAAGTGTCCAATGTGCAACAGTTGCGTCCTGCGGTGTGCCTGGCCCTCCCACCAAACCACTGGAGTGGTCCGGGCAGTGGAGTGACAAGTGCCAACTCTGAGTGTTCCAGGGCCTCGGAAGGGGTCAGGCCCGCTGTGCTGGTGTGGTCAGGGGAGTCTTCTGGCGGTGGCAACATTTGAGCTAAGGCCTGAAGGCCCATGGGCACTTGGACTGGCAGAGAGGAGAAGGGGGGCTGTGCTAACCTGGAGGGCCAGCTCCACTGTGGCAGAAGTCCCGGGATCACAAAGAGGGAGAAGCAGAAGGAAGTGTGCGGTGTGAGTGCCGGGGGTGGGGAGGCCTTCTTGCACCAGCCCACCTGGTGGCTTCCTCCCTGGCCAGGAGCTCAGCTCTGAGGCTGGCTCCCCGCTCCCCTAGACCTTGCTCCAGCAGGCCCGCCAGGCCCGTCCACCTGGCCACCTGGTCTTGGCACGGCTCATTAAGCTGTTTACAACTTGCCGCCCTGTCTCCTGAGCTTCATCTCTGGAGGCTAGCCCTGGTCCCTCCCTTGGGGATTCCTCAGTGTCTTGACATCAACAGATTTCAATGACAGGATCCCCACCTCCTTTCTTCCTTGGGGCCCTGGGCCTCGTCAGGCTGGCCGTACACCTGAAAGCATGCCCTGGAAAATAGGTAGGGCTGCTTTGCTTCAATGGACTTCATTACCAGTCAGGCAGGAAACCAGATGACACAGAACAGAGCCAGAGAAGCGAGGTCTCCTGAGGGCCTTGCAGACAGCCCCTGGCAGGCCCAGCCTCCAGGGCGGGGCCTCTGACCTGCAGACAGGCTCACAGGTCTGGGGGCTGCAGTGTACCCCTTCGTCCTCCACTGTCCCTGGGCAGTTTTACCAAATAGGCAGTCACATGGCACTGTGCCCACCCTTGCCCTGTTCCTCTAGCCCCAGGCCCTGGCTGCCAGGGCCCTGAGGTGCCCTCATGCACCCAGGCCTCCCCTGGCCAGAGCCCGATGAGCACTCACTGGTACTGAATTTTCCTTGAATTCTCATAGTTGTGTCATCCCCCCAGGAAGCAGGGGCCCTCAGTGTCAGAGGGCCCTCTCCGAGCCTCTCAGTTCCTTTCCTCTCTCCTTACTCTGTTTTTCTCACTTCTCCCATCTTCCTCTCTGCCTGCTTTTGAACCTCCTGTCTTGCCTGTCTGCCTCGGCTTTTCTTCCTCTTCTCTCCATCTCTCTCCACCCGCCCCCCTCTGTGCTTTCTCTTGGCAGACTCCAAATGGAAAACATCTGTTCCCTGGAGCTTTGCAACAGTCCCTTTTATTATTTTTTCTAAGGCATCCTGCTAACCCTGCACCCAGAGCTGGCTTCAGGCTTCCTGCCATTCCTGCCAATGCTGAGGCCTCATCCCCCGAGGCTGGGGGATGGACTCGCTCTTCATGGACTATTTGCACATCCTGGTCATGCGCTGAGGAGCTGGGTGAGGGAGGCCTGGGACCTCGCCTAGGCCTTTTAGGGGCCTTCTCAGGCGAGATAGAGACCCTCTGAGAGAGCTCAGAAAGGACAGAGCCCTCCCCTCCACCCCTCTCCCCTCCCCCCCTCCCCCCCAAGCAGGAGAGAAGTAAAGGTTAGGCCCTAAAAAGAATCCATCTTAACTCCGGGGGAGTCACCAAAACTGCCCCTAAAGGCAATAAGCATCTTCCCCTTGGAGCAGATGCAGGACCTTTCAACACCCAGAATAAAGGCGGGGCGGGGGCGGGCGGGGGTGAGGGAGGAATGGAAGAGAAGGCGAGAAGGCCCTGGAGATAAGAGGATCCAAAGGTCTAAAGGGATTTTGGGTTGGTCTGAGACCCTCTGCCCCTAGGACCTAGAGACAGTCATGATGTGCCTCAGCCACAAGGGAATGAAGACTGCAGGGGCCTGGGCTCCCCGATTTCCTGCCCCTCGGCCCTGACTCTGGGTCCGAGAGCACTCTGCTCACTAACTCAGGACCTTGCAAGGAGTGAATGACAGACAGAGACGCGGGAAGAAGAAAAAACCGGAACAAGGGAAGAGAGGACTTGGGAAGAAGGTGCAGAAGGCAGGAGGGAGTGGGTGGTGGGAGCTGGGAAAAGAGGAGAGTGAAGGAAGATAAGGAAAGGCACCAGGAGAAATGAGGATGGTGGCAATGAGGATGGGATCAAGGGTAAGACAGCTCCTTCCTTGACTATACTTTTATAACAAATATGACCTTTAGACACAGCTCTGGTTGCCCCACTCCAGTTCCCTAGCTGCCAGCTGGGGTAGCTTCCACCTGCAGGGCCACCTAAAGAGCTAGGGCACCAGTGCCCAGGCAGTGTGAAGTGGCCATTTGGGAGCTGAGATGTGGGCCAACTTCCCCCAACCCAGGGAAAGCCAATGGCCACCTGGGGGCCCCTGGAGCTCCAGGCAATGGAACTCTCCCTCCCTCCATCGGCCTCTCTCTAGCACAGTTAGTTCCCAAGACTGAGCAGTAGTGAGAGAGGGAGGTGGGCCATCTTGCTCTCCTGAAAGCACCGCCAGATACGCAGGATCCTGGAGCATCTATGGGGCTGGTGCTTCTATTCTCACACAGACCTGCTGCCAGAGGCCACATCCCTGAAATTCACCTCTCAAGTGGAGGCCCTTCTCACATCGGACTGGAATGGGAAAACGGGGGTGCAGGGGAGGGGAGGACAATCAGAATAGGGAGATCAAGGACGCAACATTTCCCAGCCTAAGCGGGGGGTTAATGATGGAACTTACTGCCAACACAGACTGGGATGCAGTTTATCTTGAACCAAACCAGGGAGATTAGCTCAGTCCAAAATGATAAAGGGGGATATTTTCCCTTCCTGCGAAATTGCTGCAGCTGCTGGAATCGTTAGGTGGTGGGTGGTGGTGCTGATGTCAATACTCTTAGCTCAGGTCAGGTGAGGGGAAGGGCAGTAGTTAGGCAGACGTTACTGCCGTGATCTGCCCTTGGCAGCCCTTCATCCAATAGGTGCTCAGCACATGCTTGTTGGCAATGATGGTGGCCAGGGAGGGGAGAGGGCTCATGGGATGCAGATGGCTCCAGAATTCTCCCATGTGCAGAATGGAAGATCTAGGACACGTTCTCATTTCCCCTCTGGCTGTGGCAGCTGTCCACCAGTCTAGTCCCCCTTTCTTCTCTAGTGACAGATCCCCTGATTTTTAATGGGGCATATGAATAATGACATTTCCCACAGTGCTTTGCAGCTAGGAGTGTGGTCATGTGACTAAGTTCTGACCAATGGGGTTGTAACGGGAAGTGATGTGTGCAAATTCCAGGATATGTCCTTAAGGAAGGGGGTGCCCCCTTCTCCCACTCTTCCCAGTTATGCCTTGGAAAGTGGATGTGGTGGCGAGCCATGTGGGATCACCGGAATAAGAGTGACTCAGGGAGAGCAGAGCTGCCATCCCAGACAAGGCTGCACCTCTGAGCTGCTGCGTGAAAAAGTGAAGCGTCCACCCTGTGGAAGCCACCCCATTGGTCACACATACCCAGACCTGTCTCCTATGCCACACTGCCCACCCTTGCAGGCACCGCGTTCAGAGTACTCAGATTTTGTCCTCAGAGTTCGCTGTGGGCTGAATGTCTAGGATAATGCCCAGGAAAGGAAGGCTAATGTGCCAACTGGTGAAGAGCATGTGTTTACAGCAATATCCCCACATTTAATGATAGGCTTCAGGAACGCTTTTAACCTTCCTTGGAGTTACCAGAACATTCTGGCACCCCTAGCATAAAGGAGCATATCTGTGACATGCAAGCAGGCTTGTAAGATGCAAAAACATTTTCGTTTGCTGATGACTGTAAACAAGACACCTCATTAAAACGAAAGGCCACAGAGCCCCTGGAATGGGTCACGGTGTTACTGACGCGGTCCTTGAAGTTGATGAGGCCCCCAGCGTACCCCGCCAGAGCCCTGATGGCTCCGTATCTTAGGAGAAAACAGGGCAATATTTGCCTAAGAGGAGGCCTTGTCTCTGATTCCCCTTTGTTTTTCAATATTCTTTGTCCTACTTAAAATGCAAGTAGTTGACCGTGGAGCACAGCCCCTACGCATCCCTGGCATCCTGGCGGACCCTGATATAGTAACTGGGGCAATACTTGCATTATTAAAATGCTTCCCTGTCTAGCCTTTCTGTGAATCCTGGTCCAACTTTTTTTTTTCCAGATTCAGAAGCTGCGGTGGGGAGAGTGGAGGCGTCCTGCATACTAATGTGTCCATATGTGAACTCCATGCAGCAGGAAACCTTAGATTCCCAGTGAAGCACAGTCTAAGTCTAACTTGCAAAACCCACATGTCCCAGGAACTGATTATCTACTGTGGGTCTCTTTTCCATCTTCCCTCGGGGGCTACTGGCACCACCTCCCAGGTAGAGAGGGGGCAGGTAGGAGGGTCATGGGGAGAAAGATGCAGAGCTTCACTTGGGCAGATCTCAGACAAGGAGGCATGTGGGCCTGGCTCATTTTCAGGATTCCACTGACTCCATCCCCTTCTTCTCTATTCTGTGGCTGCTGCCATTTTATCACAGGCACATCTCTGGCCTTGACTCTCTCTTTTTACTCTAATCCACCTTTCACAGCACCGTCTGGTTAAATTTTCCATCAGTCCAGTGAGTCACTCCTTGGCATTCCTTCGTCAAGCACCAAGGACGGTCACTGTTGGTGGTGATGCTGCCTCCAGGTCCACAGCCACCATGGGCGAGACAGAAGTCAGACACCATTTCCTGAGCACCTACTATGTGCCTGACACTGTGCTAACTGCCTGACCCAGGACAGGCAGGACTGAGCTGGCATTAGAACCCAGCTCTTTGCAACTCTTCCTCCCCAACACGGACCCTCAAACTCCATGGTTGCAATCGTGCCGATTAGCTGTCAAGGGGGATTGTCTCCTAAATGGCAACCCTATTGCTAACCAGCCCTCTGCCTTCAATGAACTTTACACCAGACCCGCCTTTCCTGGGGGCTGCTATACCTCACCCCTTCTCTCGCTATTCCCTGAGCTCTGGGGGCCTGAGCCTGACTAGTTTGACTCAGGAGAAGCTGGGCAGGAAGAAGGGATGGGGCCTGCTGTTGAGTCTAAAACTATCCTTCTGTGTGGCCTTTCCTCCAATCCTCTCCCATTGTATTTGCTGCCAGAGAACCTCTCCCAGATAGGCAGGTGCTGTCCCCATTTGGCAGAGAGGAAACCATGACCAGACAGATTGACTTCTCCTGAGCCAAGCCAAGGAAAAACAGCTGGAACGAGAGCCCCGGGTTGCCAGGCCTGAGGGAGGCCCATGTGAGCCTTGTCAGGGGTCCCTACCACCCGTATTCCCTTCTCTAGGGCAGGATACCGCTGAGGGCCTGGTAGCTTGTCGGGAGGTGGGTGGGCGTCACCCCGGGGGAGCGGGGGTGGGGAGGCACTCACCAGCCTGGAGCCAGATCTGTTCCAGCGTGGTCCACAGCTGCATGGGGCCCTGTTTCAAAACAGAGCTGGGCATGGTCAGCTCCGACATGGCCTCCTCTAGCCGCGAGGCTGCGATGGACGATGCCCGCCGAGAGCCTGCAGAGCAAGAGGGGAAGGGGTTGAGCAGCAGAGTCAGAGGGCCACACACCCCAGGCCCCAGAGAGAGACAGGGCCGCCGAATCAGGGGCAATAGCTCACAGAGCCACCAGTGAGGGCCCACCCACCTCATCCCCTGACCCAGAGCCGGGGAGAAGAGCTTCAGAGGGGCAATTAGGCGGCGAATCCACTTCGAGGAGTCTATCCCCAAGCAACACAATCATAAACGTTGGCAACCAAGCTTGTCTACTACTGCCTATTGTCATCACACTAACCGAAATGACAGAATGTCCAACAACAGGGACTGATTAAAAACAAGTGAGGGCCCTGGCTGGTTTGGCTCAGTGGATAGAGCATTGGCCCAGAGATAGAAGGATCCAGGGTTCTATTCTGGTCAAGGGCATGTACCTTGGTTGCAGGCTCAATCTCCGTCCCTGGTCAGGGCACATGTGGGAGGCAACCAATCAATGTGTCTCTCTCACATTGATGTTTCTCTCTCTCCCCCTTCTTCACACTCTCTCTAAAAAATCAATGGGAAAATATCATCAGGTGAGGATTAATAACAACAAAAACAACCCAAAAAACAAACAAAAAACAACTGACGGTGTAATCATACAAGACTATGCAGTCATTCAAATAATAATGCACAGATATGGACATCGATGTGGAAAGATGTCCAGATTCTACAGTTAGGTGAAGAAAGCAGGCTGAAAGAAAGAATGACCACATTTTTATAAAAAAGAAATATGGGCATAGAAAAAAGTGAATTAAGAACTTTATTAAGGACTGGGTGGAAAAATTACTGGTGATTTTTCTTCCTTTTGCTATTTTTGCTGTTTTCACAAGAGCATATTATTGCTTCCTACACAAAAATGAGGTTATGCTGTGAAGGACCCTGGGGTATCAGCTCAGGTCAGACCCCGTGCCCTCTGGAGAAGCCCTTCTTGTGGCAGCTCTGGGTCCCGGGTGGGGGACGTACTGGTTGGTCAGGGTATATGAGCTGTTGGCATTTACAATTCACATGCAGGTGAAATGCAAGCACTTTCTCTCTCTCAGAGGCAATAAAGGCTCCAATAAACTCAGAAGACCTCAGGGCAAACCACAGACGATTTCAGTCTGTAAGACGAATGCACATGGAATCCTAATAATTTGTTCGTGGCTCCTCCCTCTTTCATTGCAAGGGCGCTCTGCCCTCCTGCACAGTTCTCTCCTGGGAGCCAGCAGCTCCGTGTGCACCGCACTCCTCCGGTGCACCTGTCAAGTCAGGTGCTGGGCTTGGCACCGGAAACCAACGCCGTCGCTTTACAACGAAGGCGCAACTTGGTTCATGTCCACAGAAGTGGAAAAAATGAGCAAGGCCACTAAGTACGACTCCCCCACACTTTCATTCCTGTGACTAATTCTTCTTGTGTCTTTGAGGAATGCACACTGCTTTATTCAGGTCCTCAATTAAAAGTCAGCTTTGGGCTTAGAGTTGTAAATATAAGCCCAGCTCATTCCTTCCTACTAAGGACGCTAGGATGGCAGACCTTGACCTCAGGCTGTAGCCTCTATGCTCCACAGCTATCATTCACCCCAATATTCCCTCTCTCTTCGCTTCCAGCCGGGAGGTAGGGTCTCTCCCTTGCCCACTTCAGCTGTCCACTTCCCACCCAGGCCTAGCAGCCATCCTGCCCCAGAGCCACAATGGGCCCTGAAAGACCTGATGGCAGCTCCTTAGCACAGGCCCTTGGGCAGGGGCCACTCTCCCGCTGGTGCTCTGGCTGGGAGAGGGAGCTGTGGGCCCATGTGGGCAGCTGCCCGCGGGCACCTTCTTACCGGAGTCTGCGTCATGGGCATCCGGCAGAGTCAGGTGCATGCCACTCTGCTTCTTCAGCATGACGCCCTCGCCGAGGCTGCCATCCTTTTCCAGGCCTCTGGAAGGCAAGAGAGGGCCAGGCCCCAGTGACATAGGGGGCTGGCAGGGAGGACGAGGGAGCCTCCTGCCAGGCCGGCTTTGGGGCTGAGAGTTCAGGCCCACAAACAGAGCCTATGCCGGGACCATCAACAATGTTCTCGCTGTACGTCTCCCTCCACCTCAGCCCCCCATCCCCAGTCCCCTCCTTGGTCTAGAAAGCCTCCCGTGGCTCCCCTGCCCCTCAGGGCCTTCCGTCCCTGTTCTCCGTCAGCATGGCTCCCCGCACCACAGATGCTGAGGGCCAGACACTCTCCCTTTCTGGCCAGAAGCTCTCCCAGGCCATGGGGAGGCCTTTCCACATTTCGTTGCTCTCACAATGTCTAGCTGAGGGCCAGGCCGAGAGCAGGTGCTGAGGACTGGCTTCCAAGGAAAGCCTGGTTCTCAAGGGCCACCAGCCCATCTCCGCCCAGGAAGGAAGGCCCAGATGCCACTCTGCCTCAGGCACCTTACCTTGGCTTCCAGGGTGGCCTCAGAAGAGCCAAAGGGGGCCCCTGGCATGGCAGGTAAACAAGCATGGTGACCTAGTCCCCTCCCCTACCCCCATTCCCCAGGTCTCTGCAGCTCCCACGCTGCTAGGAAGTTCCTCTTTTCTCAGAGTGGGAGGCGGGGGAAGCCCCTGCCCGCCTCAGAAAGGCAGCACAGCCTGCTGTGCCCTTCAGCTCTCCCTGCCCACTGCCAGGGATGCCCGTGGCCCTTGAACCTCTGACTGGGGAAGCTGAGGAGGACCGGGGTGGAAGGGGTGAGAGAGAAGGCAGGCACAGCCCGGATGCTTCTCCCCTTGGGAGGGGTGCCAGGATGATGGTCCCACAAAGAATGCCAGAGCCTGGGGCACCCTCGCCATCCTAACGCAGACTCACAGCGGCCTAAACGTGGGCCTGTGGCTGCACAGCCATCATTGCGGGCTGTGGTGCCAAGAAACCACCCACAAAAGCACAGTGCATCAGGGCTGGCTCCTGTCCTCTCCCACCCTCTTCCCTTTCCCAGGAGGCACCGAGTGTGGTGCCAGAGACACTGGGTTAAAACCACAGGGCCACCGCTTCTTGGCTGTGTGACCCTCGGCAAAGCCACCTTTCAAGGTGAGTTCTCACGGTGAGTTGTCTTGTCTTGAAATGAGTGTGAGAATGTCGATCTCACAAGGCTGTTGTCAGAAGCATATGATATAGGCAGGTGCCCAGCACCCGCTGACGTGGAGCAGATCCACAATACAGCTTCTCGCCCACCTGCCCTCCCAGCCTCTGAGGGGGCCTCTCCTACAGCTCCAGAAACAGCCCATCTCGGGGACCTTTTGCCACTTGGTTCTAGGCCAATATACAGCTTTGCTCCTGCCCTAAAGAATCTGGCAGCTGGATGGGGAGAAGAGAAAGTCAAGGTTGAGCAATCAGCACGACCCAGATGGAGAGGACTGAGCGGGGAGGATGAGGCAGGGTGACTGGAGGCACCCTGAGGAGGGGCATCTGAGCGGGGTCTGAGGGGCAGTGTGGACATGCGGGGGCAAAGCAGGAGGTGGGACAGGGTAGGCCAGACCCTCAGGCTGTGGATTCTGGCCTTGATCCCTACTTGCCCCAACTGGATTTCACAAGCCTCAGTTTCTGCGCTGTGGCTCCAGGTCGAGAAAGAATGTTTCCTGTTCTTGGGAAAGCCTGGAGGGTATTGGATCCAGGCCTCTGGTCCCAACCATTTGTCTCCAGGTAGCAGCCTGGCTGAGCCCTACCCCACCCTGAAGTTCCCCAGAAAGGGGGCCCAGGGAAGGAGCTCTATCAGGCTCACCAGAGAGCAGATGAGTATCAGCAGTGGCTTGAAAAAACCCCAAGGCAAGCCCCACTGACCCCGCAATCTCATGGTCCTTCAGCCTGGGGTGGGGGAGCACAGGCTGGGCCTGGAGACAAGGCTGTGGTGCCAAGAGGCCTGATGAGCAGACAACCAGCCATCTGCCAGCACCAGGGGTGGTGGGAGTCAGGTTGTGCACCTGCCAAGTGGCCACAGCCAGTAAGTTGCAGAGTGAGGTGTATCTGAACACTAGAGTCTGGCCCTCACCTCACATCATCCAGGTAGCTCCCCATTTCCTTTCTGGAAAGTCCCTCACCCCAGAGCCTTCTTCTGGAAGCTTCCACCCATTGGTCCTGCTCTGCTCTGGAATTTTCCAGACCCAAAGGCTGCAAGGAGAAGACTGACCCCACCCTGCCCAAGGGTTTTACTCCATGGGATTACCCTGGGACCTCCTCTGAAAATTCCACCGCTAGCGACCTGCCTCTGGGGACTGTGCAAGCCAAACACATCCTCTAGGGTTGGGTTCCCCTGAGGCCCTGGGAGAGGACAGAGCCAGCAGTCCCAGAGAAGGGGAAGGGGTGGGGTCCACAGGACCAGGAAGAGGCAGTGCACTGCCCTGCATGACGCACTTTCCCACTGTGGGCCCGCAGGTTGAACTCCAACATCCCAGTGGGTTTGAACAAAGACGTTCTGCAGGTTCAGCCTGGACAAGAGTACCCTGCTCTGGCCCAGGAAAAACCCAGAGCCCAGGCTGTGGAGACAGGATGAGTAGAGATAGTGGGTAAGTGTGTGTGTGTGCGGGGGGGGGGGGGGGGGGGGGGGAGTAGCGGGGTACGGGGGTCGTCCAGAATTCTGCTTCCTCTTCTTCTGGCTTTCAAATAGAACCAGGAAACAAGTGTCAGGCTTCATAGGCTGTGGCTCAGGAGACTCAGGTTCAAGCCACAGCACTACCATCTACCAGGCAAGTGGCTCAGGTCCCTGAGTCTCAGTTTCCCCTCTGGGATGAGAATAAAATCCAGTAATGTCTAAGCTATAAACAGCTGATGTGGAAGATGGAGCAGTAAGCCCAGGACCCAGCCCAGATGCTCAATAATGATTTCTCTTTCTTCTTACCCCTCTAAACGTCAGTCTCCTAAACAGGTTCTTTATGTGCTTCGCAGAGGATTGTCACAAGGTTAAAATTAGACCAGGGATGTGAAAGGCCCCAGGAGCAGCAAGTCCCACACTCTCATTCAAACATTCTCATCAGCCCCCATCCACCTGGCATGTGGCCACTCTGCAGTGGGTGGTTGCCCTGGCAACCACTGCCTGTCAACTCTGGCAAACCCGAGGGACAATGACAGCCACTCACCCCAGCTGGGAGAAGTTGTACAGGGCCTGCCACAGTCGCAGCATTTGTCTGCAGGTCACGAGGGCTTCCTCTGGGCCTTTCAGTACCTGCTCCAGCTTCACCTTGGTGAACAGCAGGCTGGGGGGGGGGGGGGGGGGGAGAAAGAGAGCGGCAGTCAGCACCCGCCCCAGGAGGCTCCCTTCCCTCCCAGGGTGGGACCCTAAGGGGGCTCAGCTCTACCAGAGCAGCCCCCAGCCCACAGCAGGCAGAACGACCACGAACGTGGTGGCCTCGGCTACACCCCTGGGTCACTCGCTCTCTCCGTGCCTCAGAATCTCCATAGTCTGAGCCAATGCACAAAGCGCTCTTCTGCATTTGTCAGCATCCACACTGCTCATCCACGTGTCCCCCGATCATAGCCTATCTTGCCCCACCCTCCGAAACACTGTCAAGCGTGGTGACTAGTCTTGTTTTGTTTGCACATCCTCACTGGCCACGTGGCTATCTTTATCTGACAAGTCGAACAGGCCCACAACGGGGCCTTGTATAAGAGGCAGACTCAGGAAGCAACTCCGAGTCAAAGGAAGAGGCTCAGCCAGGTAAAAAGGTCACGAAAGGGCCGGGTCCTGCTTTCTACCTTGCCAGCACACAACAGCTGCTCAATTAGCATCTCAACTGAATTACAGACTTTGTTTCCTGATCCAGGATACATGAGGATACCCATGTTTGATTTGATCAAAGAAGTCTTCATTGAGTTTCCTAAAATAGCCTGGTCCCCTTATATAGTCAATAGGATTAAAGCTACAAGAGGCCCTGTTCAGTCACCATTCAGGAACACAGTTACTGTGCAAAGGGAGAGAGCCAACACAGAATCACTTTCGACCTGAAAACCAGAAGTCCTCTGATGGAAGAATGGTGTGGGGATGTGACCCTCGGAGGGGCTTGGAAGAGAGGGAAAGAACTGGTTCTACAGGAGGGGCAGGGGGCTACCTCCCTCTGCCCAAGACATGGCAGAGACCTTTGGACGACTGCCCCGCCAGGCCTGGGTGGGGTCTGGACACCCCGCAGTGCCAGGGGTTAGACTTTAGCTTGTTGGGAGAGCTGGAGACACTTAGGAAGTTTAAGTGGCTATTTACCAGTGGGTATGGAGATACTGCACTCTTATCACGGGTACTGCCCGCAACACGGATACACACCAGCAGACTGGCTGAGCCACGGAGGCCCAAGCAAGACCGAGCCTCTTGCTTCTCACTGGGCAGTGAACAACAAGACCCTTTTATTCCCAGAATGGCTGCTGGGCCCTGAACTTGACTGCTGCTGGGTGGTTCTGCCAGTCCATCTGAGGTGGGCACACAGGCCCTCATGGAGGCCCAGTCCTGCATCTAGGGAGGGAGCATCCCTGTGACCTAAGGGTGCAGCAGGGGCTGGCCCTGGACAGGGAGGCCAGGTGTGCATCTGGGAACATTCCCCTTGGACCGCCCTCACTCAGGGCCTCCTCCCGCACCTTCCCCCTCTCTCATAAGTACTGAGACCTGTGCCTCCAGGCTCACAAAGGACTTTGATCGCCTCACTTTGATCCTTTCTCCTCATACCTTGTTTTTCTTAGATTGCGACTTGTTGGTAGAGAATGAAGAGGGCGGAATGTGCCCCAGTCCTCTTTTTAGAGGAGGGGTTTTGGGGTCTGGGCAAGCATATTTTTCCTTCTCACGTTTCCTCAAACATGCCTTTTGTACCCTGTGCATAGGGTACCATCCCCACCTCCACATGGCCTCTCCTCTCCATTTCCACCCATTCCCCATGATGGACTTTAAACCTCACCTCCCTCAGGGAGCCTTCCCAGACGCTCAGGATGCCCTGCTGAC